CTGTCAATTTCCCGTTTGTAATCTAAAATGACTGAAAATTGCAAATTTCGCAAGGCTATATTATCCGCATTTTACAACATTTCGCAACGAAACTTTGGAATATTACTAATTTTGTGATGCTCTTTCATGCTGTGATGAACTTTTTGTCTAGGCTTGTCTAGATCAAAATTTAGTCTATTACGCAAATGGTCAATTACATGACAGTTAAATTTCCACTTTATTTTTCATTTCGTAGCTCTGTTGTGATTTATGATATAGCATTTGTAAATTCTGAACGCTGATTGACTAAGAGCCGTGTTGACGTAACTGAATGTCAACATGGCAAATTTCTTTCTTCATAATACATTTCTTTGTGCTATATTATAAAAAAATATTAAATTTAAACATTTTTCCGTATTGATATACAATTACTGTATATCAACACTCGTGGAAATTAGGAAGACTCGAAATTGTGTGAAAACACTCCGCCCTCCGGGCGTCGTGTTTCCACACAATTTTTCGTTTTCCCAATTTCCACTCGTGTTGATGTAACTGTATATCATCAACACGGAAAATACATAACTCTTATATATTGTTGTTATATTTTACAGGATAATTACGCAACGGTTAACATAAAGGAACCAGTTCCTCAGGAATTTGTTCGTTTACTGATACGAAAACAAGGGAGTGATAATTTCCGAGGGATAGAGAATCAGTGTGGTGTGAAAATTACCTGGCCAAAATTCAGTGGAACAGAAAAATATGTGACGTTTGACATCATAGGTTTGAGGTCGAATTGCGACCGTGCAAAAGAGATGCTGAAGACAAATGTAGTAAGTATATATGTAGCGATGAATGAGTACAAACTAAATATAAATCCTGAAGGATTGATATTTATTATGCAATCTGAAACTAAAAAATACAATCAATAAGATAAGATAATTGAATATTTTAGATAATTGAATATTTAATTTACACTAAGCTTGTTTAAGCATCTGCTCAAACAAAAGCGGTTCCTTTTCGTCTTAAATTCAGCGTTTAAAACCAGTTAATGTACATGAAATGTGAATTTTCCAACATTAAGTACAGTACATGTTTTCAACGCAAAGTTCCGAGATTGTCCGACACATTTCGACAGTTTCCGGAACTCAAGGAAACATTAACTCCTGCATTGGGGTTTCCATTATTATCATTAAATCTTCAAAGCTGGGTATATCACGCAAATCTTTGTCATTAGCCTTGTGTGTCTTCACCTTGACGTTTAATGCTTTGCCAGAAGTACTTCTTGCCGATATTTGGCGATGTTCCATTTCGGCCTCCATTTGACAGGTTCAGAGATTGTTGCAGTAGAAGAAGAAAATAATCTTTCGGCGTTCCTTGTTTGCCTCATTCATATCTGCTGCTGTACATCGTGTGATCCATTGGCAGTTTCGAATACTCAGCCCATCCATCTATCTTCTGCTTATCTCTTCGCTACAAATTCCTTTTGTGAAGTCGTCTTCTGTATTCAGGTGGGTTGGACAATAAACCACTAATGGGATTAGGATTTGCTTTGAATTTCAATTATTCGGCTGGACACAAACGGATTAGCTGCTGGTTTGACTAGATTAATCTTCGAACAATAAGATTCGAGATTACTTACATTGCAATTCTCGACAATAACTGCAGCTGCCACTCCTATCGGGTTGAAATTAATTTTAAAGTTTGTGCTAATTGACAGCTCAGAATTCGACGTTTTTTTCAATTTCACCGACTGAGACGCGTCCGTATGTTGTACTGCTGGCGATTCTTTGGTGAACAGATCTTTGATTTTAAATGAGAATTTGTCTTCCTCTGGGGTCCAGCCAGTTCCAAGGACCATTTCTTCATTTAATTGTTTCTTTACATGGCATGCATTCACTTCTTTCGTCGAACAAGCAGAGCCTCAGATGTTGTTGACATATGCGTTCTTGTTCATTAATTCAGCAGCTTTTGGTTTGCTTTCTTGGTTCATATCTGCAGTCTTTCGCATTGTAGTGATAACCATTTTTGGGTGAATGGCGAGTATTATACGTCAAGACGGTCTGTTCCGAAGATTTGCATGCCAAAAGAATCTGTGCCGTTAACCAGGTGGCGTGTTTTTAACCAATTTGGTACATCTTTCCCCGAATACTGCCACTGAGTTTTCTTGGAATTCTAAAAAAAAAACACAAAATAAATTGTTGAGGATATCTGGACTCTTGTGTCAATAGTCGTTCAGGCAGTGGCTGTTAGAGGATGCTGGGCTATGAAACATGATTCTTACCTGGGTGGACCTCTTCTCGCGATCCGGACGTACAATGGCATGATGTGTGATGTCGTAAACCGGACCTTTCTATTCTTTTTTCTTGGTATGCTTCCATTTAAATCCCAAGTGTCCCATCTCTTTGATTTGTTCGTTTTAGCTGCTGCTGCACCGGAGGTATCCAAAATTCCACAGATCTATCCCGGACAATATTTTCTACTATCTTTGATATTACGAATGTAAGGGAAACTTGCTGATAATTTTCTCTGATAAACTTTAAATTACTTTTATGTATTGGAGCGATGTTGGCCAATTTCCAGTCTTGGGGGAGCGTACCCGGGAGGAAATGGATTTATTAAACATACTTGCTAATGGTGGTGCTAGTTGAGAAGCATGTTTTTTAGGATTTGCGGTTGAATACTGTCTGGTCCTGGGGATTTAGAAACGTTCAAAGTTTTTAAGTGCCTTACAACTTCTTCAACTTGAATGTCACTGAACTCTTCATCCAAAACTAGGTCCAATGTAGGAGAATTGTGACACGTCGGTAAACACTGACGAAAGGTATGTATTCATGCTGTCTGCAATATCCATGTTATTAGTGATTTCCCTATCACTCACTTTCAGTAATATGAGATCCTTAGTAACCTTTATGTTTCCAATTAACATATTTCCAAAAAGGCTTAGCATTGTTCTCTTTTAATTTCTCTGTTAAATTGTTTCGTGCGATCAGCAAGTTGAGTTACAATTTTTTTACCATCGAGTTTAATTCCCTATTATTTACAATATCTCCAGTCGCGATCCTTCCCAGACTCTATCGCTTTTTTGTAGGCAGCCTTCCTGCATAATGAAAGTAGTTCCTTGGTAATCCAAGGCGTGTTTTGTTTATTTTTTGTTATATTGACTTTTGGTATGCATTCGTGTTCATCCGCTTGCAAAAGATATTTTCATTTTTCTAGATACGCGTGCGTTAGCTTTTAGAATACAGGCGTAAGTCTCTATTGGGAGGTCTATATAAAAGTATTTTAATAAAACACAAAACAATAGACACTCCGAAAATTGTAAACATTTTTATTCTTTACGTTTCGACTATAATTTAAGTAATCTTCAGAAGAATGCCTAGATGCTTGCGCGTTCAAAGTTTGATAACGTCATATGTATAATTTTACTAACGGAAAATTGTGCACAAATTTTCATGCCCTGGGGCCGGTTTTTCAAAAGGCTATTAACTTAACCCAGGATTAGTGCTAACCCAGGGTTAAAAATCCTTAACCCTGGGTTAGCTAATCTTCGGTTAATTTGGTGTTGCTCAAACGTGTATTAGTGGTGCGATCAGTTAACCCTGGATTAAACATTTAACCCACGACTAAAAAGCGCACGAAAAACAAAATGGCGGAAATCAATTTTCCTAAAGTTCAAAGAAAGCAGAAACTAAATTTTTCTACGTCAGAAATAAACAAAATTACAGCATTAGTGGAACATAGACACTATTCTGTCCAAACTAACAAATAGCATTACAAATAAAAGATAAAAGAGGTATGGGCTAAAATTGCGCAGCAAGTGAACGCAATTGAGGTGGCATACCTCTCCGTACAAGATATCAAAGACAAGTGGAAAAATCTGCAGAGCACAGCCAAGAAAGAGTTTGCCTTGCAAAGAAAAAGTTTTAAAAAGAAAAACGGAAAGACTTATAGATATAAAGAGTTCATAGCAGACAAAGCTAAGTATTTTTCTTTCATTATTTAGTCAGTATTTTCAGTGAAGTATTTTGGACGAAATATAAAGCCAAACAATGCCGAATAATTTCGTGTGTTCAAGCAGCTGGATAACCATGATTTGAGCATTTGTATAAAACAACAAGAAAGCTATATAATTTTGCTATAATAAGCAGTTGTATTTTATTTATAGCTAAATTGAAGTAAAATATAATGTTATCATGCACCGTGTGTCTTCCCCCCACCTTATATTACATTGTTCTTGTGTTCTGAGACGTATAAAATCAGTCAGAAACGATTCTAGTTGGCAAAAAAATTGACTTTAATACGTCATTTATTTTTTCCTATTTGGAGATAAATCGCCTAATTAATAGATTCGTATAAAGTCAGTATTAAGTTTGTATTTTTTTGTTCTTTGAATAGGAGAGTCAGTGTCATATTTGCAGCCCCAAGGAACCGAGTTTACTGCTTTAGATTTGCTTGAACACCCATTAGATGAGGAACGTGAAAGCTCGCCTGAAAGCATGGCAGACAGTTTGGAGGAAGAATAAGAATCTACAATGACCCCAGCACCTTTGTCATTTGTAAGTGCAAATCTGACCCAAACCCCACCCAGAGCCACATCATACACCACCAAGCCTAAGTCCAAAAAGAAGAAGGTGACACAACAGGTAGTTCTGGAGATGCAAACCGAAGTATTACAATTGCAGAAGGAAGCGATCCTTTTAAAAACTGAAAAATTAAAGCTTCAGTTGTCCCAACTAAAACAGGAAGTTAATAACACAGCATTAATGTCTTCAGTTGAAAACTTATAATTCTTGAAATTGCATATTTATTTTGTCAACTTTTAAGCTGTATTATTTTTAACGATCATTGATTGAACAAGGTTATGTGCCCAGGCCATAATCCTGGGCATTTCAACTTTTTAAATTTTGTGGTCAAATTTCCCACTCCCAGGACAAAAATGCATTCAAGTGCCCCACATATATAGTTTGGAAAATTGATGGTCACATGCCCCCAACCCCCGGATCATTCTGACTGTAATTCTATATCAGTTCAAGTTTGGAATTGTGTGAAAACATATACACTGAATTCGGAAGTTAACTACAACATTTTAACAAATGAAACACTGTATGTATTGAAACACTTACACCTCATGCTTTATAAAGATTTCTAAAAGCATTTAAAGTATACTTAAAGTATACTTTGAATTTTGAAGCTTCTTAATAGACTCAGACCTCGTGCAATCTCGTGTATTAAAGGACAATGGCACCGAAAATTTTTATTGGCTATTTCAATCCTACTTGACGACCTAACTATGAAAATATTATCATTTCGTTCTCAAACATTTTAGTCTACGAGTAAAATGCATGCAAACTTTGTGTTTCGCCGCCATCTTGGAAATATTTTTTGAAAAATTATCTCAAAGGTCAATGAACTTTGTGACGTCATTGGATGGGTAGCGCACCAAAACTACAAGAGAGAATTCTATTGCGTGCGTGTTATGTTAGCTAAAATATGTCGTTTTGAGCGTTATACTGGCCAACACTCTTCGCAATCAAACAAGATAAGTCTACACCATAGATATCTCATATACACTAGATAGCGCATCTCGGAATACAAAACTGAAGCCAAAAATCTCAGCGGTTTCCCCCATGAAAATAGGCGGCGGCCATATTGGTCGTTCCCACTCATCAATGAAATGCTATAGAAAATACTATACTTTTCGAGGCTTTTTTGCATTTCTGGATTAAAAATACCTTTTTGAGGTACGTTCGCCTTGAAATCGCAGCTTTTTTGGAAAAGGGTACAAGAAAAAAACATTAATTGGCGATGTTGTTGTCTTTGAATCGCATTTTAAAGCTAAAAATTTCGAATTACGACATTGGCTTTATATACTTGTTTTGAATCTGTGAGTGATTCTCTGGTGAAGTATCGTCTAATCAATACATGTACTTACGGTTTCTGGCACCACTTTATGGAAATGGAAGTTGGTAAGTAACGTTTCGACTATCGGCGTAGGCAGTTTATACTGTAAAAAAACAGAGTCTGCACTTTCAGTTTGGGCAGTTTTCACTGTAAATCTTTAGTGAAATGTTTGAGACAGTCTGAGTTCACTTTCAGCTTGGGTAGTTTTCACTATAAATCTTTAGTGAAACGTTTGAGACAGAGTTTGCACTTTCAGCTTGGGCAGTTATCACTATAAATCTTTAGTAAAATTATGTTTGAGACAGAGTCTGCACTTTCAGCTTGGGCAGTTTCATAGTAAATTTTAGTAATATTTAGCTTTCTTTGATACATTCTGTGTAATCACTCACACTGGTGCTTAAAAGGTACAAGTTTATTTAATTTCTTTCAAATTTTTTGTCCAGATGAATTCTCAGTGGTCTTTTTTCCAAGATGGTAAAATTTAACCTCACAGTAACTCTTGATGATGCTCTTGGTCAACTGAAATATAACATGATTTTCACCAACTGGTGAGTCAAAAATATGGTGATCTAGCTCAGTAAAAAGATTGTGTATGGACAATGAAGCCAGAACATATGGACAATGAACAATGAAGCCAGAACAGAAGTGGTCAGAGCATATAAGTGTCTGCTTTCTGAGAACAGAACAGTATGGACAATGCAACCAGAACAAAAGTGGTCAGAACATAATTATAAACATCTGCTTTTTGGGTGACCACTTTTCTTGATGAACATTTTGTATGAACTGTTTTCATAGTACTTCATCCTTAGGGATGTTTATCATGTTAATGCAATCTAATTTCAATCAATATAATAGTATACTGTAAAAAACTAAAAATAAATTGCTTACTGATGAAATGTCCTGGGAAGTTTTCTTTTGATTTTTGATTCTGTCACTTGACCCTTCACTATTACTTCTTATACTTTTTGCATCAGGAATGACTTTACCCATTGCTATGAAATTTTCTGAGTTTAATTCAAATTTTTAATTTCAATTGGCACCAAAACTTCTTCAGGTCTCCAAATGTTTTTTAAAATTGGACATTTTTTAATTATATTTACAGTAACCACTAAACTCAAAAGGCAAAAATTGAGAGTTTATCATGTTTTCAATTCCTGAGAGTACTGGCAAATTTATTTTATTTTTTTAGAAAGGTTTAATTATTGTGCATCTGATGAGTCAAAGAATTAGAAAACACTATTACACAAAGTCAAAAGTAATACTTTATTATAACAATAGAATTATTTATACAATAGTGAGTGCAATTATATTTAAGATTATAAAATCTACTGCGCATCAAGCAGTTTATCCCATTGACCTTACAATATACAATAATGCAAGAAGTAATGTGTCTCATTACAAAATAGGGTTTCCCAAAGCAGTTCTAAAATTCAGCTGATTATCAATGACCTATGCTAGCTGTTAATAATTACAGTAATTTGGCAGTTTGATTGCTTGAATTAAAAACAAAAGGTCTAGGACTCAACAGAAAGAAATATTTCTTAACATCAAATATTAAAGATAGTTTGAAGCATTCATACAATTGAAGGTTTTAGAAAGTTTGATTATCAACTGCATTTACATAAAGCAATATCAATTATGTTATATTGCCTGCGAATATACTAAGTTGCAATTATTCTTCTCTAGCTTCTAACACATTTTAATCTTGATGTGATTCCATGGAACTATAAAATAATATATGATATGTTGCATGTATGTATGTAATAAATATACAAATAGTAAGGAGTAAGAACCATTTTTGGTGTCAATGTTTTATATATTGACTATTTAAGATTTTAAGTCTATTTTTGCCATTGGGCTATTCCAATTATTATCCGCACCCCCCCTGTTGAGGAACCCCTTTCTTATGTCGGTATTCCCCTGGAATTCCGCAAATTTTCATGTAAAATTTACCCCTTCCCATGGAAATTCCTTGTAAAAATTACCCTTCCCCATGGAATTTCCATTCTAAATTAGGCCTTCCCCATGGAATTTCCATTTAAATTTGGCCCTGTCCATGGAATTTCCATGTGTAAATTACCCCTCCCCATGGAATTTCCATCATGGGACATCTACTCCCGGAAATTTCCCTCTAACATATGTCCTCCCATGGAATTTCATCCCATCAAAGTTACCCCTCCCTTTGGAAATTCCATGTGAGAATTACTCCTCCCCTTGGAAATCCAGAGCCTGAATGCCCCCTTCCCTGGAATTAAAGTTAATGCTCCTCTCCCCTGGAAATTCCAAGGTTAATACACCCCCTCCCCTGGAAATTCCAAGGTTCCTCAACAGGGGGGGTGCGGATAATAATTGGAATAGCCCATTGATAAACTGTGACTAAAATATGTTTTTCAGTGTCGCTGTCTTTTACAAAAGAATATGCAAATACATTCACAATTTTGCCATGAAGCAATGGCGATGGCTCAAAAGTTTTATTTAGAATTGGTGGAACTATATTTATATATACATCAACAATGATGGTTTGTCCGTAAGGTTTGTCCTATGGGCGCCCTTCATACGGGTCGACAAATATTGATATTTTCGAAATAAAAAATTAAATTCTGCCTACCCGTTATTCACAATATGAAGCTCCAACGATCTGGCATCATTTACAACAAGTTGCACACTTGAAAAACCAAAATTGACTGCATAAAAGAGGATTTATTGTCAACTTTGTCCATTTCCGCAATACAAAATATACAAATTATCACGCCCCGTGGGAACGACCAATATGGCCGCCGCACGTAAACTGCGACTGCGATCAGGCTTCAATTTTCGCCTGCCTACAGGGTGGGATGCGCTATCTAGTGTATATGAGATATCTATGGTCTACACTATCAGATAAAAACTTATCGAGCGACTGGGAAAGCAAGGAATGGCGCAATTTACAATACCGGTAATTGATCATAAAATATTGCACTAGTATTTGTCTTGTTACACTCGATACACTCGAATTTCTCCGTTTATTTAACACGGAGTATGATATATACTATGAGAAATAGTGTTACAAACAAGTTACATACTCGGTAAAACTTTGCTGCCTTTTGTTTCGGCTCAAAATACACTACGCGTGGCAATACTCGGTATTGTTTATAGTTTACCCAGCCAATGACGTCAGATAATGTATTTTGTGGCATAAATTAGCATACACGCTTATTTTCAAAATGGCGGACAACTGTTGAACTTTTTATCAAATTTTCTCAACAACTAAACGCGACAAACCGGCCGAAATATGAAATTAAATATTCCGCAAGTATACCTAATAGATATAAGTAATAAAAATTTTGGGTGCCAATGTCCTTTAAATGGTCAAATGCTCCATGTATTAGCAGTGCAAAAGGTCACATTTCCCTCTCTGGGGATAGAGCAAGGTGTCAAATGCCGGGGGATGTTAACAGTATAATCTGATTGGAGTATTACACATGATATGAAGAATTATCTGGCTTAAAATTTGCTTTATAAGCAGACAACGGCCTTGACAATTCTTTACATCATGTGCAATAAGTACTCATGCAGCATACTTTTAAATTTGACGTTTTATAGCACATCAATTTACTGTACATATAATTCAATTTCACTTGTTTATAAACAATATAAATAATAATTTCAATATTAGATCGGGACCATAAACAATTTAATAGGTGCCTGTGCTTGGGTCCATACTTTTTAATTCTGAATGACACTTGAAATTTCAACAACCTGCAATATCAATATTCTAGTGTTTTACCACACATAGTGGTTATTGTGGGTAGATCCCTGTCAATACATTTTCGAATTTCCAAATTTGGGACATTTATTTAATTTTAATTGGTTGACATCATCCAATAAGAGAGTCATCTTATTGTTAGTCTCACCCCATTGTTTAGTGGTCCATGTTATATACTAAATTATTGTAGAATGTGGTAAAATGGGACCAGTGCAATTTCACCCATGCTATATGGTATAAATTACCAATTAAACTTTTCTTTAAATATTAATCTAACACACATTGAAATATTTAACAAAATAGTTGTGTTTATAATACAGCACTAAAAAAAGTTATTTGCTATATTCTCCCTGATTTGCCTTCCCGTATCCAGGGGCCGGTTGTACGAAAGGTGGATAAGTTATCCAGTGAATAAGTCCTATCCAATGGATAAATCTCGTATCCAATGGATAGCTATCTGCCGAATAAAAATGCGTTGTACGAAGCACGGATAGCAGGGTGGATAGCTATTCGTCGGATAACCTTAATTATAACCGGAGAAAACCGGATTTTCCTGAAATTTCTTATCTCTAGGTCAGCTGTTGCTAGGTATTTGTAAACTTTTAATGTAATATTTTCGTATAACTTGTGAATTCCATCTATCAACTATCAACTTGCAATAAAGGTTTTTTGTTCATGTTTATATTTTGGAGTTTTTCTCGTCCAATCGTTGCAATACTTCGTTTTCCCACAGTGAAGAGTTTGCTATCTACTTATCGATATTTCTTTAAAAGATTTTTGGCTTCTTTATGCAAAGGCATTAGGTGAATAGCAAAGACTGCGAGTTTTGTTTTCTTGTTTCAGTACGTTGATAAGGTTGATTCAGTTTTATTTTATATACTGTCCGAATATTTGTTCTTTGTCACTTTGACCTTTTACTTCATTCAAAACAATTTTAAGAACATTTTCTCGCAAGATTTGATTGGCTGATCAAGGCCAGCGAACAACATTTTTCGACTTTCGGCGCCTTGTTGTCTATTTATATGCAGCTATATTTGTTTGGCGTTGAAGGGAACTCATTTAATGAAAGTTTTATTGCTTGTTTTTGAGCAATATAATAGAAAAAAAGAAGGAAAAAAGCCAGAAAACTTAACGTCTAAGCACTGATACTGGTCTACGTAAAATATGGCAAAGTCATGGCATTACTTAATGGGCAAGTGACTCAAAGTGAGTTCGGTGTCCGTCAAGAGCAAGAGAAGTCATTAAGTAAGTTTCCATGTTTATTTAGTGTCAAAAAATGGACTAGCCAGCGTGGCCGACTCTTTTATAAGTAGAGCCTGCCCGAAAGCCCTAGTCAAATTGATGCCGCCTACTTAGTTAATATTCCATATTAACACCGCCCACTCGAAATAGTTTTGTATAAATGATGACTTGAAATGTCAATTGTTGCATATTTTACTATAGCCTGCGCTACATGCTTTCAATAAACTTTTTACAATGGATGCAAATATAAGCAAAACGTCGGCATTTTGAGCGAAGGCCCTTCGACTTTGTCTGGAAATTAATAGTAGACGAAGACCGTTCAAAATTATATTATGCTCTGCACCTGTATGGCTGACAGTTATAAATATTGCAGTATTAAATATAACAAGACGCCTACTCAGGCGTTCACTCCGGGTACAGGACCTTAACTAACGGCGCAAAGCTACTTTAACGCATGCTTATATACGGCAATGAAGGTATCTTTAATGCATGATATTCAGTAGCATATTAAAGTTGGAAAAGTGGGAGAACTACAGTGTACCACTTGACCAGGTGACTAAAAACATATGCAATGATCATAATATTTTATAACATAAAAATAAAAGGACATTGTGACACTGGTTCTAGTTCTTTATTAAAAGTTCTATTTAAAACATGCGTAGGAGTGTTTTTTCGAGTCGTATATAATAAGTCGGAGGCCGTATTTTACAAATATTTTATGTTTTTTTTATTGTCGAGGGTAGAAATTCGAGGGTGAAAAGCTTGAGGGTACATTTTAATAATTTAACAAAATAATAATTTAAGTTCGTGTTCACTTTAAACTTTACTTTTAATTTTTAGCTCTTATTTTTATATGCAATTATTAATTCTTCATATGCGATTACTTTTTATATGACAAAATATTACTACATAAAAATAGACATGCCGATCAAAAGCTACAGTCGAGATAGTTTCAAACGGCGTGCCGGCGGGGTGCATTATCTGCGTTATCTCGGATTGCATGTCGCAAATTATTGTATCAGTCTATTCACTATATGGTCTATTGAATCAGAGTAATCAGGACTTGTTTACACCTTTCCATTGCCATACGCTTTTTCCGGGTTCGCGACGCCATCTTCAAAGTATTGTTTTCGCTACTGTGCTTGCCCCACTTGCAAATTTATCTATAGGGAATGCCCGCAAATTTCCACCCTCGACAATAAAAACCATAAAATATTTTAGAAATACGACCCCGGACTTTTTATATATGACCCTCGACTTTTTATATGACCCTCGACTTTTCAGTATATATAATTTTTCGACCCTCGCTTCCCACCCTCGACCCTCGAGAAGAACTCCTGAAACTGAATCACTAAAAATCAAGGGTGGGTTGTAGCGAAGTAGTTGTAGTTCGCTACTGTAGCGAACTACAATTTTCAAGTAGCCAGTAGTTTTTGACTACTTTTTTGAAACAGTAGTTGTAGTTATAGCGAACTACATTTTGCCTAAAAGTAGCCAAGTTGTTGACTATACTTTTCAAACAGAGAATCGCTATTCGCTACTTTTTAAAATTGTTATAGCAACTTGATAGAATAGCGTGATATTGAGACACGGTTTGCTTAAAATCAATACTCAATAGTCAATTTGCACTCCTGGACACTGTAGTGCTTACAAAAATGTTGCTTTGTGTTTACTGTTGCTACTCGTAAGTCGATTTGTTATAGATTACATTACAGCCTGAGTTAGTAGATGCTCCAAATATAGTAAAACTAAAAAATATAGTGTAGCGAAATAGAGAAATAGTTCGCTACATTTTTTAAGCAGTAGCTGTAGTCAGTAGCGAACTACCTTTGTTCAAAAGTAGCAGTAGTTGTAGCTGACTACATATTTTTGAAGTAGCTGTAGTTATAGCGAACTACAAAAATTTTGTAGTCAACCCACCCTTGCTAAAAATAGCTAACGTAAACAAACCACATTTATCAAACACGCAAAGAAAATTATTTAAAAAGTAATATATTGTTAGTCGTGTCATATAGTTAATTGTCAATACTTTTTCAATGCATGGTAGTAAGTTCATAACTGGCACCATAACTCATAATTAAGTTATGTTGATATTTTGTTTATACAGATTGATTGTTTTAATTTGTAAGGCTTCTGTAAGTTTGTTATTATCAAACGTTTAGATTGTTTTTAAGCATCCTAGTAATGATTTTACTTTAAGACCAAGACAATGCAGCTGTCGAGACCGATTTTTAATACTCTATAAATAAAACATTAAACTGTGTAATAGACGTAATAGTGTTGGGTAAAGCTATCTAGTTATATATATTTTATATGCGCTTTTGTCTAATTCAAGCGTGGTAGACAATATTGCCAATATTGTTGTGGTTTGCGATATAAATTGCCTCGCGAATCGAAGACTTTCAGATATGTCATATGTCGAATAGATTTGTGCGTTGTTTGTACTTCAATTTTGGCCACGAGGCACAAAGGGAGACTTAAAGAACACGAGTGACGAGTGTTAACACAATTTAACTACGTACAGTGTTGACAAAATTAAAAAATACCTGGCTAACGTCAGTAACGAACCAAGCCAGTTGTCGGCGATCAGAATTAGCTTTGCAATAACGGCAACCGCTACTAAACACGCGAGAAAGTCTCGAATTTCGATTTGTATTTATATGAACTGTGGTCACTGTATAAAAACGAGTGTATGAGAACCCCTGCATTTGATAATATTTACTGTAAATAGAACTAAATACATTGTAAACACAACTCTCGCTCCGATCTACTACGAATGGCGGCTATTTTTAGATATTTCGTATTTTTGTAGTGCGTTGCGTGCGTTGCGTACGGTGCACCTGTGGAAGTGCACACTTGTGTCGCCTAAGAAAAAATATCTGACATTTTAATACTCCGGTACTTACAGTACCCGGAGTAATTAAGTTCATATATGTCCATAAATTTCGATACCTGAACAGCAACATTAAACAAAATCATTCTGTCCCAAAGTCAGCCATATTCCTTAAGTTTAGGACTCTGAGACCAATGAATATATTGTCAATCAAGGATTAAAAACAATGAAGACAAGTATTATGGTCAAACAAACGAAAATATTCATGTCCACAGGCTGCAACACGCAAATATGTTGACACATTATCCTGAAGTGACAAAATGTCGAAATCGATGAAAAACGAGCCTAGAAACAGTTATTGAGCTAATCAATCAAATAAATACTTGGCATAAGTTTGAAGGTCCATAGTCCAAATATTTGATGAGTTTCTTTAGGCCATTTATACCATCAAAATTTTAAAAATTCCCTGTATTTAGATACGAACCATATTGATCGCCACGCTGTTTAGCAAGAAATCGACATGTCAACTTGTCCCGGCCCCGGAAGTGTCCTGTTTACTTGCTACACAGGATATTAATAAGTTAATGTGAAAATATGAAGATAAAAGTATCTTTTAAAAAATAAAACCTCTCAAACCTCGATTTGAAAGGCTTTTAAAAACGCTAATCCGTTCGGAACCTACAAATTCGAGTGGTGGTATTTAAGCTTGCGCAAGGCAAAGTTTGAAGACTCATATCTTCGCAATCACGCAATTAATCAAAAATCGCCACGAGGATGTTGAGGAGAATTCTTTTAAGAACAACCAACATATATCAACTTCATGGCAAAAAAACAAAAAAAACGCTTGCAGAAAAGCTCTGAAGTAACCCCATACGTTTGTTAACAAATTTCATGTGATGAAGCGCTTACGCATTCTGATTGGCTTAGGGCAAAAATGTAAACAAAAGCGCTGATTGGTCGAGAACGAAATTCCCCCTTGTTTGTACTGCACGGTACAAAAACAGTAATATGATCTATCTGACCCACCCACTCGTCATCAAATCGGCAAATTGTTATCTCATTCGGCAAAACTGGATTGGCTAAAGATAACAACTGAAGAAACCAAAATTGACTTCATGAATAATTGAATTCAAACCGAATATCACGAATAGCATGCATCAAAGAAACCACACATGCAGCAATGCAAATTCTTTCGAACACTGCATCTTCATTTCTTTTAGTCCAACATCGTACCCAGACTCTTTCCACTACGCGCCTCGCTGGAGGAAGGCCCTGTTCCAGACTGGTCACGTGTCTCCCAGATTTTGGGAGATTTTTACTTTTACATTGGGTCATTGAGGGGTCACATTGTATCTTCTCGATATGGTGTATTTGGCTCCGCCTCCCTTTTGATCGACATACTTGTGCAAAATGGTTACAGGAGTTGTTGCACAGGTAACAGGTTTGTCCTTTTGCTGGACATTTCTCTGATCTGTAGTGCTTTCTAGCACAGTTCCCACACTGGCTTATCTGTTGGGGGTACTTTTGTTCAAGTGAATGCTGGGGGTACTTTTGGTCAAGTGATTGTCTCGATCTTTGAGATTGACTGCCTTGGTTTTGCTGTCTGACTAGGTAAATGCTTTCTTCCTTGTTTTCAGGACACATGCTTTTGAGTTGGGCTTGGTTCAGTGGCGGCGGAACAGGGAGGGGGCTCTAGGGGGGCTTTAGCCCCCGAGAAAATTTTGTTTTTCCTGGAAAAATGTTGATAATTAAGGAAAAAGTTAGGGTATTTTTGGAAAATTTAGGTATAAGTCGTAAAATTTGCAATATATTGTTTAATTTAATTAATTTACAAAATGTAAGTCCGGAAAATTTTTTTGTTATATGCCCGGAAAAATTTTTCATCCCCTTTCTTGTGTATGTCCGGAAAAATATTTTGGTTTATGTCCGAAAAAAGTGCCGACGGAGGGGGAGATGTCACGAAAAATCCCCCATAGGTTCTTGCGATTTGTATGGCTTTGTCTAGCCTAAGTTCTACCCCTTCTATTATATTACAAGTTTTCTCCTCACTTTGTTTGAATTTGTCCGTAACACAATTCGGTCTCTAACCATTTCATTTTGGTCGTGGAACTCACAATCATGGGCAAGGAGTTGTAACTCTGTTGTGAATTCCTGTACTGGCTCGGTGGGGCCTTGTATTTTGTTATGAAACTTATATCTAGCAAAGATGGAGTTTGCTTTCGGATTGACATTGTTTTCGAATCGATCATAGCATGTTTTTAATTTACCTCTGTTTGTTCCTGAGATATCCGATCACGTGTTGTATATATTTCTGCCTTTTTGTCCTACCCGGATGAGTAGGTAACTGCATTTCTCCGCTTCGTTTCTTACTTTCTTGATTTCAGCGGTCCAGAGTACATTAATTTGACGTTAGTCAATTCATCCCGGGCGTTCTGTGACCCCCGTCCGCGATCATATCAGATCATGTCAGCGGCTCAGCTTTTAGCATTAATTAATATAATTCGAATTTTCGCGCGCGAATTATTAATTAAAGATATTATTGCTGCCGTAGGCAGCTTCCTATTCTTGTGATTTGTTCCCAGACCTCTTTATCGAGCTATATGAATGCGACAATGAATTGGATTTAGCAATGTTTGGATGTTCAGTTTTATGACGTTTTGTGACGTAGAAGATTCGACGGGTTTTTACGGAAGCTACCGGCTGCTCTTCGGGACTTGCCAAGATTTAGCACGAGGGCGAAACTTACAAGTTGGCAAGTATTTAGCAGATAAGGCCAATGAAAATTGAAATCATGTTTCTCGTCCACAATTTTCAAAAATTTGGAGCGGGAGTTTTTCATTTTTCATTATTTTTTGTGTTTGAATTCTGCTTGTCAATAATTTCCTTGACCCATAAAAATCTGAAGTAAATCGGTGTATAATTCACTTTAATTTAATACGTCCTACTCTACAGTATATTTCTACGTATACCAGGGCTGACATGAAAAATAGAGGCATTCTGGCGAGTAATGTCTTTAGAAAGATACAATTTGAGCTGCGCTTGCGAAATAAGACTTTGACCTGGAGATCAATTTGGTGTTTTATTAACCCTATTTTTCAAAAATAATGAATAATGAAAAATTTTCGTGCGGCAGATAAAACCCATGCGGGCGGGGACGAGAAACATGATATCAATTTTCATTGGCCTAATTTGCGACTTTTAAGAATTATGTCTTCTTGTAAAGTCATTTATTTAAGGTAAGATCAAAGCATTATCTGTGATCCTTTTAGTTTACGAAGAATTTTCAGAAGATTTGACGATTTGTTCTTCTATTTATGTGGGCTCGTGTTTGATTTTATAAACCTGACAGTGCATATTTGGTGTTGGGAATCATTGTGTTCAAGTTGTCGCTTATCAATATATTGATCAGACACTTTGCGTGTTGGTCACAGTGTGGCAAATAAAATTTACATCAATTCTAAACAAACAAACGGAAACTAACAAGAGCCATTGTGTTCAAAACAAACGAAAGCCATTGCGTTCAAAACAAACGGGAGCCATTGTACGAAGGTATCACGTGACTCAGAGCTACAGTATATATATATAAATATATATATATTATATATATATATATATATTTATATTAATATATCATATTCGCATTGATATATATTGCATTTGGTTAAATGGGGGTACAATTGAGCAATATCGTGCCTGAATTGGTGCACATTTTAATAGTTATAGTGTGAGAAGCAATGATCTATCAGGCATCAGACGTCCTTTTCTCGATAATATAAATATGTTGATATGAGCACCTGTATATAACCCCCTCCCCCCCATGTATAAGCCCATCAACAAACGCTTACGAACTTATATAAGCCCAGGGCTTATAATCGGAGGTTTACGGTATTTGGTTTGTTTGCAATATTTGGTTTGTCCACACGGTTTGAGTGTTTGACAATTGACATTTGAAATAAATGAGATATTAACTTTAAAACATTGCATTCACTGTTTTACTTGGCCAAACAATCTATTAAAATTACATGTCAGTAGTTAAACCTACTTCTTATTAGAATGGGTAATAACCCATCAGCTACCAAATATCACCTAGCCAAATACCATAAACCTCTGACTATAAGCCCTGGGCTTATATACTTTCGTAAGCGATTTTTGATGGGCTTATACAAGGGGGGAGGCTTATATACGGGGGGGGGTCTAATACATGTACGATCTTTTGGGTTAGTATTAAACAAGTCAGACAAACACAAGTCAGTCAGAAACAGGAAAATAAACATGTATTAATAACGTGCTTTGATTAACATAGTTGGCTATAAAGACAATGACAATGTTTTTAAATATCGTTCTCTGCCCTACAGTCATTTTTTAGTCGAAATTAAAGCCACCTTAAGTAGGGGACTCTACGGAGATTAGTTTGGCTGTATCTTACATGCAGTATCCATGAGTATGAGTACTTCCGCACACCGGAAGGCGCATGCATGCCGTGGTGGGCATGTTCAGTAGCGACAATAACAAAAATGTAAACAATACTTAAGGTGGCTTTTCGACTAAAAAATGACTGTAGGGCCCCTTTAAAAGACAATGTCAGTGTTGAATAACGTAGTGGGCTACTGGGCTTATATTCGGGGGACTTATATTTGGTGGTCTTATATTCGGGGGCGGGGCTTATATTCAGGGGGGAGGGGGGCTAATAGTCGGAGGTTTACGGTGTATAACTTTTTATTGGTAGAGTATTGCAAGTTATTTCATTTGAACTACTCAAATACCTCCTACAACCCATCACTATATTAGTACTATATTCAAGACAATTAACAAATTTGGTTGTGGATTACCTGCAATGCATTGCAGCTGCCACATGATTCATCATCAAAATGCTGACGCCATGGTCCTACCCAGTGCGCTTATGGAGGTCCACCATTTTGAATATTATCAGGGGGTGAATGCCTCTCAGCGCACTGGCTAGCACCATGGCGTCATTTTGATTACGAATTACGGTCATGTAACACTGACGTTGAGACGCGATTGGTAACCAGGCCTCCATGTCAAACATAAGGTAATCAAAGTTAAGCTCTAACTTTTTCGCAAGTTCGCGACGCGAATACACCTACGGCAGTTTGTTATACTAGTATAAATTATATTGGGGTACGTTTTCTCTTGACTTTTTAAATAATCTTCAAAGTAAATCGATGTTCGATAATTTGTTAACTAACGGACATCTTTACCTGTTGCAAATTTATAATTTGTTTATATTCAGCTAGAAAATTTTTATTATTTATACAATACGGCCCATACTTAACGAAAATGCCTGTGTCAGTGTCAGTAAGACTTTAGACAACAGCAAAGGTCAAACGAATGTTATCACTGTTCTAGGTCAAAATAATAAGTAAAATTTCGGTCTTTGAAAGTAGAGTTTGCAGTAAACGATGAACGTTCTTATTTGATCTAAACTACCGAAAGTCGAAAATGTTGATTATTTGTTGGCCTGTAGTACCCCCAAAATTTACAGGCCGCAATATTTAATTTTACATTATGTAAGACCAACCTTTAAT